CAACACATGAGGCTCTCTGTGTTTGACTCTGGTTGCCTGAGCCTAGCCCCCGCAGAGGGCATCCTAGGGCTTTGATTGTACAACTGCCTTTTGTCCTGGCTGCCTAAATACTCTTCCCTGTCTTTATTGGGCAACTCCAATGCCCTCCAAGGCTCTCCAATACTTCCTCTTTTGAGGGCAAAAACTGTATTTTCTATGTCTATATTTATTACAGAGCAGCTGCTGATCTAGAAGGAGTGATAAGTAAATATTTGTTGAGTTGAATGTACACTTATGACTGGAAATTCTTTACATAATGTTGTGTGTATAATTGAACTGCTTGATATTTGAAAAATGCGAAAGGATTTGTCGTCTGAGATTACTTAAAATATCTGACACTGCAACAGACACTAGCTTTAACAAGGCTCTGTGACGTAACCTATAATGCATCAGCTCTATAATGACACTAACCATCGGATTATAGTGCAAATAACATTAAAATGGTCCTTTCAGTTGGCAAAGTGGCAAGTCACTTGGCTGGGCTCATCATGTTTTTACCTAAAGTTTTTCTTAGTGTGCAGCAGTGAAAAGTGCTTAGAGTGCTCACATGTTTGATTTGAGTACATCCCCAAAATTGCTAGCAGAGTAGTAAAAGTTTGTTACAAGCTGATGGGTCACCAGTTTGAGTGGCACAATTTCCCAGCTTTAATGACCTCACAGTATAGGCACTGTGTTCGAGATGATTATTTCCTGCAATTGTTTATTAAAGAATGATTTAAAAATTCAGGTTATACATTGATGTCGTTTGTGCTTAAGTACACCGTAAGCTAGTCTAGCCAAAACAAGATAACAATAAGGAAAGTGGCCAGGAAATCTATGACTGTGGAACTAAGAATAAAGAAGAAGAAAAAAAATTAGTTTCCTGTAAGATTTGAGCCTGTAAGATTGTGTTAAAAGTAACACAATCTAGTTGACATTTAATTTAATTTTCTTCAGAAATAACCTTCCTGGTGAGAATAGTTTTTACCAGATGGAAAGAAGATAGATGATTTTTTTTCAATGTAGATATCTCCTGATAAATTCATAAGAAAGTATTAAGAAGAAATCACGGCAGTTTAGCATGAATTAGGTCAGTCTGAATTGTGTCATTGTCACAGAGATTGTAATGTTCACTTTGATGCCATATCTACACATTCAGTAGTAGGCAGAAAAAAAAAGTGAGTAGCTGATAGTGGTATTAGTCCATTTGTCTGGGAATACAAAGAAGGGTGAGGACAGATGGATGGCGAAAAACTAATTCATTATAGGGAAACAATAAAGGGAATAAAGACAAAAAGAAAAGGTAATCTCTTTTAGCTGAAAGGAATTTGAGGTTAAATCTAAATGTCTGATAAGTGTGAGATTATTTTCTCATCATATTTTCTATTCTCCAACTAATAGTGTAACTGCACATGAACGTCATCTCTTCAGCATGTATTCTGCTTTGATCCAAGCCAGCTTGGTTTTTATCTCGCGATAGAACTATGACTCACTTGCATTCTTTCCCGAGATTCTCCCACCTGTGCATATACTGTATGTCCACTCCTTTTAATCTTCAAGCCTTCAGGACTTTAGGTTCTGGTCAACATCAAATTCGTTTCAGAATAAAGCTTCAGGTCTATCCACCATGACTAAGATATAATATTTATTCAAACAATGAGTAAGGTTTCAATAAAACAAAGCTAACGAATTGGCCTCAGTTGTTTCAGCTCGGACTCCTGAGAGTGGCACAGCCCCACCGACCACATTCCCTGGAAACTGGATGAAACAATACTCTGACACCAGGACCTGAAGCCATGATCAGTTGCTCCCTGCCTTAGCCTCAACCAATCAGTAGAGCCCCCAGCCCCAAGTCCCATAGCAACCATGATTAATGATTTTTCCCTTATATAATCTTATCACCTGGAGGCCTTCTGGAAGCCAGGCTTTTGAGAGCACTAGCTCACCTGTGTCTCCAGACTTGGCCCCAACTCCCTAAAGAAACCTTTCTTTGCTGCAAACTCCCGCTTGTGTTTTCTTTTGGCTTGCACGCGTGCAGGCCAGCAGACCCCTTTGAGTCTGCAGTAACAATAGTTATTGCTGAGAGAAGCAATGTTTTGAGCTAACTAAAGTGCTAGCTATATAAACATGAATAAAATATAGTTCCATACTTCGAAGGTCTCACTGGGGAGGTAAGAGTTACAAGATGAAAAGAGCTCCTTGGAGTAATTAATAACTAACATTTGCTTAGTACTTGAAAGTTTGGAACATAGTTTTACACACCATTTTGTAAGTTTAAAAAATAAATTTCTAGAAACATTCTACTATATTTGGCTTTATTTTTGGAAGATTAACTTTAGGATTGTGATTGATTGCTTCTTAGCTTTGCTTCAGCTTTCTCAACCTTTCTTATGGGCTCTGTTCCCTGATCCTTCCAATTTCTTTTATGATCCAATACCTCAGTGGGATATTGCCCTCTGAACTTGCAAAGTGATTTTTCCACAATAAATGGAAATAACACAGATCCTGGGATTTCTATGATAGAAGTGATTGTAAACGTTTTACCTTGTTGTCAGATTATGTGATCTGACTTCTGGTTAAAAAACTGTGGTCAACTTATCTACTTGTGGCCTCTACTCCTTATCTAACTCATTTAGTCACTGAAACCAGTAATTGACTTTTAACTTTTGTTATAAATATTCTGAATCTAGAGTTATATATATTATGTATTCTGAAATTATACTTTTCAAGGTAACTTTATTGTCAAATCCAGTAATCTTTTTCCCCTTGTTTTGTTTTTCGTTAATGTCTCTTCAGTTCTATTCATTGGACTTCTTGAACAGTCTAGGATCCTAGAGACCTAGGAATTTAGTTCTCATCCAATATATTATATTATTCTTTGTTTCTTTTCATGAATTTTATTTTGCCTCCCACCCGCCTCATTCTTTCAAATCTTAAAAGGTTTACTTTCTTATGTAAGCCACACAGATTTCTTTAAGGCTCGGGAATATTCTGTTTGCATATCCACCTACACTCTTTACTTCTAGGACTCCTCCAGGATGAAATGATCGCCTTCCTTCAAGCTTTAGTCAATGTATACCTTCTTCCTGAATCTTGCCTTGCCCATAGTAGTTTATTTTCCTTTAAATTCCCAGGCATTTGACCTTTACTACCTCATACTGTTAACAAACTATGTGTTAATGTCTCACTACCTAGTTAGAATTGCAAATCTTTGAGGATAAGGGCTGCACAACAACTTTTTCGGGGGGTTTGCTTGGTAGGGGGCAATGAACATAATACTCAATATTTGTTGGTTGAAAAGGCATAACGTATTCTATGGTTTCAACACAACACAGCCAACATATACATCTTATTTAGGTGTGCATATCAACTTTTTTTCTTGTCTCCTTTTCGGCTTCTGATTGTGACTGACAATTTTTGTTAAAATGAATTATATGCAACCTTTTTAGAAACAATAAAAGAAAAGATGGAAAAGCAGGCTATAGGAGACAGATGGAATGGATATTTACAGGCCGTTACAATGTGTCAGACACTGTGCTTTGCACTCTAAAGACTATTTACAACGGACTCAAGAAACTGAAGTCCAGGATCTTGGTTCATTTTTCCAAGGTCCCACAAAAAGTAATGCCTGCACTGAGTTTCAGAAACCTAGGTCGGCCTGGTTCCAAAGGGCAAGGCAGTTTTGGTATTGGATGATTGTAAGAATTAAATGACATAATTTCTTTAAAAAGCACTAGGCACAGTAGTTGGCATTCAACAAGTGTTGCTCTCACACACATCTGTCCGGGAATTGGGTCTACTTAAACAAGAGAGGAAAAAAACTGGCGTAATTAATTACAGTTGTTTCTAACTCCAAGGAAGCTGTTTGATGACAATAATCCCACGCTCCTCTTCATATGAAGGCTAGAAAAAAAAATGCCTGCAATATTCCAAAATCATGAGCATCTCCCCACTCCCCAATCATGTAACAAATTACACTTCCAAAAGAGAGTAGGGATTTAAAAGTTGTCTTAAGCTGATCAAGACTAAAGGAAGGCGGTCATTTGTTTCTGTAAAAAATATAATTTATTTTGTGCCTAGGGTTTTTTTTTCGACGAAGAAAAATGCTTCTGATTGGTAACTCTGCAGGGTAAACTGCGGGGTCTCGCGGTAGCAGCTGGGCCTCCGCAGGTGGAAAGCCAGCGGGCTCGCTCCCTTTCTTTCGTCGCCTCTTTCGTTCAGGTCCCCCAGAGCCTCCCGCTCTGCAGAAAGCGACACCGCATCGCTGCCCCGGAAAGTAGGGCAACCCAGGCTCACTTCGCCTATCAGCAAACACCCTTTGTATCCATCGGAGGCGACAACCCATAGAAAAGCCTCCGGCCCAGCTGCGCCGAACTTCAGGGCGGAGAACTAACCGCAGCGCCTCCGGATTCCTCCCTCATCCGCTCGCCGCACCTGGACGCCGGCAGCGCGCGACCCCCGGCCGTGACGTCACCGCACCTGGCACCAGCCGGGGAGCCGAGCGCTGAGCTGGAAAGCGGCGGGGCCGGGCGGGGCAGGGAGAACGAGGGATTCTCGCGAGACTTGCCTCCTGCCCGGCCCCGCTCCCGACACCTTCCCGGCCTCAGTCCGGCTCTCCACCTCAGTCTGAGGCTTCGCGGTCGGGAACGGCACGCACTGAGCAAGAGGCGAGGGGCGGGCTCCAGGGCTCGGCTGGCGCTCCGGGTTGGAGCCAGCGGCCAAGACGAACCGGCAGGTCCCGCCCACCCCGGCGGGAACGACCTAGGGTGGGAAAGCCGCCGTCCGGGCGGGCGGGCGGAGGAGGGCCCTCCCGCCGCCGCGGCTTCGCCGGAGGCCGAGCGCGAGGAGCCGCCGCCGCCTCTTCCTCCCCGGGCCGCGCGCGCCGACGGGACTGTCCGGGGAGCGCCGCGGGCGGATGGAGGCGCCTCCTCGCCCCGCCTGAGCTCAGGACGGGCAAGCGCGGAGCGCAGGGCCCGCCTCCTGCCGCTACAGCGGCCGCGCGAGCAGCTGGAGGAGGAGGAGCAGCGGCGCCGGGCTTCTCCCCGCGGGGGCTCCCAGCATGGGTAAGAGACTCGGGGGGCGCTTCCCGCCGCCAGGCCGGCCCTCCCGATTCGGGAAGGCGGGTCCCCTTCTCGGTGTCCGCGGAGAAGGGAGGGACGGGGGCCGGCCACTGCGCCGCCGCGCCTCCGCCGCCTGCCTTCCACCTTGCTCTCCTCGCGGAGAAATGCGGCGGAGGGCTCGCGGGGGCTGCCTGTCGCGCTCCCCTCCCCGCCTCTTTTTCTGCTCCCGGGAAAGGTGAGGGCCCGGGGGCCGGGGGCGCTCGGTCGCCTCTCCTCGCCCCCTGCCCGGCTGAGCTCCGCCGTGAGCTTTCCTTTTCCCCAGCTCCTTCCACCCCCAGGGGGGAGGCCGATCGAAAAACTTGACAAAGTAACACTTTCAACTTCGTTATCTTCTTGCGGGGCTTTCGTATGTAGATTGGTTCTTTAAAAAGTTTTTTTTTTTTTTTGCCCTTTTTTATGTTGGGAAGGGCAATTTACCCGTCCCCCCGCTAAAACTTAGAAGGGATGCCTGTAGGGCACGGAAGCTTGAGTCTTGACTGCGTTTCTACCTAGGCAAGTGTGGTGGCATTTAAATATTAAATCCCTAATGGAGGACTGGGTTTAGGGTTTGATGGGATTTCTGCGTTGAACCCTTTGAGAAGCAGTTTCCTGTTTGGAGTTAGACTTCCTTGCTACTGGAGGGAAACGTACAAGGCCTTATATGTTATTTACTGTGTGCTTTCAAGTTTTGTTTGTTGTTAGAGACAGCAGAATGTGCTGCAGCCTGGTTTGAAAGGGAGTTTTGTTGAGTGTAACAGTTCTTTTGATAACAAAGTGCAGTGCGGGCTAGGCACTATCTCAGTTTTTTTAAAGGAAGCAATTTAAAAGTGTTGCTTAAAAAAAAAAAGAGTGCTACCTTAAAGCCTAAATTTGTGTCACCATAAGGCATAAGCATGTTCTGTAAGCGTAATCTTAATTTTGGTTTTGTAGAATAAATTAGGAGGATGCTATCACTTTTTTGCAGTGGAGGAGAGTTGGTATACTGCTTCATACCAACAAACTATTAACCAAAATAATTTTTTGAAACTAACAAATAATTTAGAAGCAGGACAAATACAGAATACTGCTGATGTGGCACCTTCTTGCCCACACATTGTTTTGTGGGAAATGCTGTAAACATAGTGTTTATAGACACTCGCCCTGCTCTTCTGTGTTTTCTTAGGCTTTCTACTTTTATGTTTCTCCGTGTCCCTCTTGCTTTCAGGTAACTTGTACACAGTGCTTTTAAACTCCAACAGTAAAACCTTTGGTATGGGGAAATTTAAAATGAATTCCTTTCTGATTGATTAGTTAAGTTTACTGGGTAATTGAGGGTTTATTCCTTTAAGCATCAAATTATAAAACCACTTTAACTGCTTTGGTTGAAAATCATACCAAAATTAAATAAGTACTCCTTTTCTGTCTTGAATAGGATGCAGGATATAATTAAACCTCTTGAGAACGTAGGGTCTTAATTTGTCTTCTATCAGGTACAGTGATGCCTTGAGAATCTGTTGAGTGTATATAGCACTGTTGATCAGATTCCTTTGCAGTTTGAAGTTATTTCAATACTTTTCTGCTTGCTGCTGGATGTGCTTGTCACTGTGATAAGTCCCCCTTCACCCTCCGTTCTCTGATTTTTCTACAAGTGTGGAAATCATTCAGATTTGTAGTTCTTTATAAGGGAAAAATAAGTGGACCCTTAGTGTGTGAGACTCTTGAGAAAAGTAAATGAGTGTCAATCTTGGACATTGGAGTAACTGTTTTGATTGTCGAGGCCTTTTCTTAGTGACTTCTTTGCTGTGTTCTGATTAGGTGAGTTGTCATATTATCTTGGCAAAATGTGATGTTTGCATACTCTCGCCTTGACTACTCAGAATGTGTTTTGAAGGTTGATTACTTGGGGGCATTTGTAGTTAGTTTCTGAAAGGTAGTTGTCAGATAGTTCCATATGAGTGTATACTTTAAATTTATTGGTCATGTAATAATTCATATGAAAATTATCAAAATGATTTAAAGGTAGTTTCCTCTTTAATATAAATCTCATTTGCTTCATTTTGTTATCAGCAGTCTTTATTTCTCATGATTTAAGATGACAGAAAATGTTTGCATTGTATTTTATCAAAATCTTTAATTTCTTTGTTTTGAAATAACTTGGATACCTATTAAGTGATGGGTCCTACATTTAGGTGGTACAGCTAGAGTTAAGAGCATGGGCTTCGAACTGGAACAGTTTAAGGTCAAATCCTGTCTCTTCCACCTACTAGCTTTTGTGACTGAGGAATTACTGAACCTCTCTGTTTCAGTTTCTTAATCTGTAAATGGGATTGAAAATATCAATCTATAGGTTGTTAGGAGAATTAAATGAGCGAATACTTCTTAAGTGCTTCGAATAGTGCTAATGCAGGTCGCTGTTTTCATCTTCAAATGATTTCCCCAATTCTTGCGCCACCTTGAAAAAACAGTTCTAAATTTTTGACCTTGGTTAGACGCAGCATATTGTATGTAAAGAACCAAATGAGATGTTTTTGTACTAATGTGGAAATTCAATTTTATATATTAAATCCTTAGAAAAATTATATAGGAAGATACTTTGAATATTGGGTATACCGTGAGAAAGTCCATTATTGGTAGTAAGTTTAGTAGTTTAGTAAAAAAACTAAGTTGGATAGGTACTAGTAGGGACTTATGTGGTATTTTATGTTAAACTAAAGCACTGTTTTTGGTTCCTACATTATAAATTTTCATAAAGAAATTTGAGGTATTATGTGTGAAAGAATTTGGGGAGAGATTTAGAGAGTTAGAAAGGCAATAGTTGTTTTTCTTACTCCCAAAGTACAGATCTGCATTTTGGAGTGGAATAAGACAGAAAGCAAATGGCACAGTGTTACTATATGTGAACTTATGTTTTTGAAAAGTTAAGTGCATTTTAACTGAATATTTCTTAATTTTAGATAAGGTTATGAACTTCTTTGTTTAAATTATTTTTTATTATCTCATATATAACAAGTCAACATGTTTAAATTATAAGGTAGTTTCAATGGATAAAAATATGCAATTGGTTTAGAAATGATATATGCACTTATATATAATAGAGTGATTTATTTCTTTATTTTACTTTGTTGCACTGGTGGAGAACATCTTGAGTCATACTGATAAGTAGTGGCAAATGGAAATTCCCTGCTAATGGCTCACTTTTCAATCTCAGGATTTATTTCAATTAAACTAATCCAGAGCATAAAAGAGGAATATTAGGAAATTTTTGTTTTAAAGGTGGTTCTTTAGCAAATTTAATGATCAGTTGTATTCCTTAATTCGTAAGTACTCATGGTCGTATTTTTGTAAGTATTTCAAACTTTGAATAGTTGTAACTGCATAAAATCACAGTAAGTGTGAAAATTTACATTCATAGTATTTTATATTTTCCTATAGAAACTAGCCTAAAGTTTGCAAGTGTATCTCTTTAAATGAGAGGTTTGCAAAATAAAATGATGTCAGATTAACTTAATAAGATCTAAATTTTAAGACATTTAATATAAAAAGTTATAAAATGTGCTTTTAGTTCATTGCATATCGCCAATCAGAAATACCTTCAAATATTTATTAATACATAATTCAAATCTGTGATTCTTTTATTCCTCTCCTTAGTCATGGAATATCCTGTTAAATATATTTTAAGTATGATAAATGTTTAGTTTTCTGATGTATATAAAGAAATGGTGTCTTGTTGAGGGCTTGAAGATAGGCAAAGAAAGAGATGTAATGATTCTTGATTTGGGTGAAAATGGGACAGACCTGCAGATCTGCCTTCTAGGTGAACTGGTGAAGCAAGTCGTGAGAGATCCGAAAATTTCAGTTTGTGTTCAGGAAAGAAAGGGCTATTCTTTTAATAAACCTAATATGTGATTGTAATTTAGGTAAATTGGGTAATCATTATGATTGAGCTGTGACTTGCTTAGGGTGTAGGATTTGATACCCAACTACTAGGCAGATTGACCTCAAGCAGAATTTGTGTCTTTTTAGATGGGGGAGAGGCCAGAAAGCTGGTCTATGAAATGTGGATGGCCGTTCATCCATACTCATGTGCCTACAGGCAGCCTGTCAGCATGAGGGTAATGTGTAATGTGTAGCAAAAGGCAGTGTGTAGGCAGAAGGAGCAGGCCAGCTTGGTGTGGGAGTGGGATATGGTGGTTGGTAGCAGGCACTAGGTAGAGGTTCAGATCGGCATCTTGGGGGAAAGAGGAGCAAATGGGGTTTGGCAGTAGGCCTTGAAGACATAGCCACAGGGAAGCAAAACCAGAGAGGGTCCGGGTCTCTTATGAGAGATATAAGGTAGATAACTTATTTCCAGGATGGTTTGGTTATTGAAATTTTTTAAGATGAGCCAAGCAGTAAAACTGACAAGATGCTGAACTCCTAAGCTATAGATCTTTGATATATATATATCTGTCTGTCTGTCTTGGGACCACATTAGTTGTCTACATTAGTAGCTGGATCTATAAATGTGACATAAATGGTCCTTGATAACTGGGGTGAAATGAGATCCTGTATCTCAGCGGTTCTCAACCTTCCTAATGCCGCGACCCCTTAATACAGTTCCTCATGTTGTGGTGACCCCCACCCATAAAATTATTTTCGTTGCTACTCTATAACTGTAATTTTGCTACTGTTACAAATCGTAATGTACATATCTTTTTGTTTTCCGATGGTCTTAGGCGCCCCCTGTGAAAGGGTCGTTCAACCCCCAAAGGGGTCGCGACCCACAGGTTGAGACCGCTGCTCTATCTGAATGCTGGAGGATATTCCCTGGTCACAGTCTAGCATTCCCTTTGTTTATTTGGTCCCAGGGGTTTAATGAGTCTGCTTTTTCTTTGCTGGTCTTTTTCACCTGAGTCCTCTCCTTTCAGACCCAATGTGAAGCAGGTTACAAAGTTTCAACATACCCTCAACATATTCTTCCATTTCGGAAACAAGCACTCAATCCT